ACTGAGATGAACATTGTGAATTAGTCACTATTATTATTTTTTTTGAAAAAAGCAATTCGATTGCATTAAAAACTAAGGAAACTATTAAAGACTAAAACACATAAACTGATTCCTCCTTTAACAATTGAATAAAAGAAGGAGGAATCTTATTTGAAGTAAAATCATACCAACTAAAATTACTAAAAAGAGCATAGTTAGCACATAAGCTTGCTAACTTATTACAATCTCTATTTACCCAATTGAAAACAACAAATTTAAATTCTTTTAAGAATGCAAGATCTTCCTTCCAATTTACTCCCAATTGTTGTAGAAATTTGATAATGTTATAGTTGTCTCCTTTAATGATCAACCCTTTGTACTCTTTCATAAAATCTTTTTTTATATCTTTTAAAATTTGGACAGCCAAAAGCTCAATCTATGAAATGTCCCAATGAATACAAGAATGTCCATAGGAAAGAAGAAATCTTCCTTTACAATCTCGGTTTACACCTCCAACTCCTTCTTTATATGATTTTAGCAATGATGCATCCACGTTTAATTTGATCCAATCAGGAGGGGGAGGGTACCAATGATCCAACAGTCTATATGACTGATTAGTACCCCTGTTGCACTATTTGATTCTATCACCCATAAAAGATATAGAAGCAAAGCTTATAGAATTTAATGCAATCACCATAGCACTATCATCCTTCCCTCTATAAACATATTTGTTCCTAGCCCGTTAGTTTAGATAGATTTAATTACAATTCACATTGATAATAATTTTTTTATCAGTACTTTTATCCATCCATTCAAAGATTTCGTTTTATGAATCAAAATTAGGAATTCCAAATCCCCAAGGGTTAAGATAGTTCAATACCTCCCACAGTTTTGCACATTTGACCGAAATATTATCCAGATCCTCTCTAGCATTGCATCCTCTCGGGCATCCAAATTCATCATGCAATCTTCTTTGATATAAGAAATTGAATGTAGGGATGGCATTTGTTAAAGAATCGCCACCAAAAAATACTTCCACTCGAGGGATCAATTTGAGTTTTGTTAATTATTTCCCAGTGATCACTTGAGTAATCATCCTTCACCAAAGCTTTATAAGCAATAACATTAATAGAAAGGCCTAGCTTAAATTGAATGAGCTCCATCGCCTCTTCCTCCTTATTCACAAGTATTGGAATTTTGAAGATAATGCAAACTAGCTCATCCCCAAATAAATTATTTAATTCCTCTACATTCCATCTTCCTTCAGTAATTAGCTTTTCCACCTTCAATTCATTATGTTCAGGATTTGTTATGAATGTTGGCCATTTGTTTAGACATTTGTCAAAAATCCATATTTCATTGTAAACTTCAATAGAACTCCTTGATCCAACCTTCCATCTAATTAGCTGATTAATGGAGTCCATACCACCTGCAATGATTTTGGAAGAAGAACTACCTTTACTGCCACTGAGGACTCCATCGTGAACTCCATATTTTGCTCCCAACATTTTGAGTAATAGTGATTCTTTATCTTGTAGAATTTTCCACTCCAACTTAGCTCTTAAAGGACCAACCATTTCTAAGCATGAACGAATACCTCTTCCTCCACAACTTGTAGGTTTGCATAGATTACTCCAACATACATAATGTATGCCAAATTTTCCATCATTTTTGTTCTGAATGAAGTTCCTACAAATTTTATCCAACTCCTTCAACACACTTATTGGAACTAGAGCAAGTGTGCAATAAAAAATTAGGATTAATAAGAATATAGTCTTGATAAGATTGAATTTCCCTGCTAAAGATATAAGTTTAGTTCTCCAAATATGAACTAACCTTAAAGCTTTTTCAATAATGAAAAGGAAGTCTTCCGCCACCATCCTTCTCAAAGCCACCTTAATACCAAGATAATTAAACTCTTTAACTACGTTGAATCCTATAATCCTTTTCAATTGATTTTTTCTTTTTCTTTCTCACATGTTTCCCAAAAAGGATAGCTTCTTTTGCAGCATTTATTTTTTGACCAGTCCAAGCACAAAAATTAGATAGAATTTTTTCAATTTCCTTTACATCTTTCATTTTTGCTTTAGAAAAATTAAAATGTCATCTGAAAATAGAAGATGAGAGATCATTTTGCCCGTTTGAGATTATCCGAATCCCCAAAGACAATTCCTTTTTTTTAAGCAAATTGGAAAGTAGTTGAGAACAAAGAATGAATAGATAAGGTGATAATGTACAACCTTGTCTAAATCCATTCTTTTTATCAACCCATCTATAAATCCTTCCATGGTAATCATCAATGAAAATCTTGGATCAATTACACACTCCATAATCCAACTGAAAATTAATTGGGGAAATCCAAACATTTCCAAAACTTGCCTTAAAGTCTTCCAGCACATGCTATCATATTCTTGCTCTATGTCAATTTTAAAAGAAACCATACCTTTGGATGCTTTAGAAACCCTAAATTTATGAAAAATCTCCTGTGAAATAAGGATGTGATCTTCAAGCGATCTACCATTAAGGAAGGCATCTTATTCTATTGAAATCAATTTGTGAATAGCATGTTTCATTCTATTTAGAAGAATCTTTGCTATCAATTTGTAAATAGTCCTACATAGACTAATCGGCCTCAACTGATTAGGAGTAGCTGGATTTTCTACTTCAGGAATCAGCACTATTAATGATCCTTTCCATTCATGATTCATCACTCCTGATTTGAAAAAGAGATTGATAGCATTCAAAAGATCATCTTTAATTATGCACCAATAATTTTTCACAAAAGAGTAAAGTATACCATCATTACCTGAAGATATATTGTTGCCAGTTTGATACACCACATCTTCCACTTCTGTCATTTCCCGATTCTTATTTAAGCCACACTTATCATTATCATCCAGAGTATATATAGCAGTCGGCCATCCATCTAGATTGTAGGGCTTGTCTCTCCATTTATCCATTAAAGAGTGTAAAAAAACATTTTCAATTTGGTTAGGATCTTCTGCTTCCATCCCATCCCTATCACTGATTTTATGAATCCAATTTGAATTCCTCCTCGCTGAAGCAAAAGAGTGAAAAAAAAATTGGATTTGAATCAACATCGGACAGCTATTTCACCTTGGCCCTTTGCTTCCACTAAGTGTTCAACCAAGCCATAACAAAATTTAGTTCATTCACATTTGCATTGAGTCTCCACATTCCTTCTTCCGAAAGCCTGCCAGCATTTTATTCTTTCATATTAAGCTTCTAGATGCTTTGCTTCAGTTCTTCCTTTTGAGTACTAAGATCCCTGTGTTTTGCTTTACTCCAGAAGAAAAAAGATTATAAAGTTCTTTTAAATTTTTTATTCAATATTTCAGCACAATCACCTTTAGTTTTCCTGTTCCAAATAGATTCCACAATTGCCTCCGATGCAGGGTAGGAAGCCCATACCTTTTCAAACCTGATGATCCTTTCTGATTTGAACTTGTAGATCAAGAAGTTTAATAAAATAGGACAATGGTCTAAAGAAACTCTAGTCAGATGCCTTACCACCTTTTTATTAGAAGAATTTAGAGCTTTGACATTTAACAAACATCTATCTAATCTTTCCAGTATCTGAGATCCTCCAACATTATTGTTGCACCATGTGAATTTGGGACCAATAAAACTAATCTCATTGAAGTCATTATTCACTAAGAAATATTTCACCTCTTTTGAAGCTTGATTAAACCGAAATCTCCTACCACCCCTCTTATCTTCCTTGGATAACAAACAATTGAAATCCCCTCCTACTACCATAGGAATATTTTTTATTTAAACTCTTCCAATTTCTCCCAAGGAAATCTCCTTTGAACTGTATCTTTGCTTCCATAAACTATAGCAATTCTCCAACTCCCTTTATTAGCCAACATAAGGTCCCCAATCACAACTTGTTGAGAAGAATCAACTATAGAAAATGATACCATCTTACTCTTCCAAAGAATAAGAATCCACCGGACATACCTTCAGAAGGTACTTGAAAAGAATCCCAACTATCTCCAATCAATTTATTAACTTCCACTCTACTGATTGTGAAAATTTTTGTCTCAAGCAATCCAACAAAAAACACCTCATTGTCTTTAACCACTTCTTTAAGATATAGAAAAGCTTGTTTCTTTTGAGCTCCTCTACAATTCCAAAACATCATAGAAATTATTGTGAAAGTAGAGGGGAATGGTTCCCCGCCCTTTCATTACCATCTCCATCTTTTTTTTTGCTTCTAGACAAAAGCTTGATAAGACCCAAACTCTTAAGTTCTTTGGCTAATTTGACTTTAGCATTTGCCGAATTTCCTTCCACTTTTATCTCTACATTTAGAATTCCAGAAATATGTTCAACTGGAGAGCTAGATTCTTTGGTCTTTCCAACTGTAACTCCTTCAAATTCCCCTGGTACCTCCGGTTCCATACTAATCTCTTTGTTAACTTCATTAGATGATTCTATTTCTCCTTCTTCAAGCAGATCCGATAACACCACAAATTTGTTCATCCCTTTAAGAATAAATGTAGAATTAATTGTAGCATAAGTTACTTTCTCCAGACTATTCTCATCTTTACCATTAACAACAATTTTCCCATCCTTTGACAAACCTCCATCTTGGATTAGCAAAGGAATCATGTTATCTGTAGCTTCATTATTATTCTCAACAACAGATTTGGACACATATATCTACATATTAGATTTCCTTCTTTAAATGCCCAAATTCCTTTGATTGAAGACCTTCTTCCTTCCATACTTGACATGGATCCACGGTCCATAAGAAAAATTAACTTCCTTGGATCTTTCTTTCTCCCTACCTTCATAGTTTGTAGGATTAGTATTAACACCTTGCATAGCCGTCCTCTCTCCATTATCATTAATTTAAGATTCACCTCGATTTAAATTTATAACTATCTCTTGACATTTTCTAGTTGGGGTCCCATTGAACCCATTTCCAGAAAGAGAAAGGTGGAAGGGAAACTCAGAAAGAAAGGTGGGGACTCTTCCCCTTTGGTTAATTAATGTCATCCTTAATCTTCTGGAACTGTAAAGGGGTCAAAAAGAAAGAGACCGCCCTCTACCTTAAGGAAGTGGTTAGAGATAATTATGTTTTCTTTGTTGGTTTGGCTGAAACCAAAGTCTCCATGATTAATAAGACTGATGTTGGTCGTATTATTAGCAACAGCTGGGATTTCTTTCACCAACCTGATGTTGGCACTGCAGGAGTTATTATGATTATGTGGGATAGCAATTTGGCTAGCTTTACTGTGATTGAACATACCTCACAGGTTGTCTTCGGTGCTTTGACTACACCAAATAAAGGCCTATGGCATGTTGCCATGGTGTATGGTCATAAGGACTTTCAAATCAGACGTGATCTTTGGAATCGGCTTGACAAGGTTATGATGATTGATGTACCCACGATTGTGGGAGGAGACTTTAACTGCCTCCTTTCTACTGAGGAAAAAAGAGGTGACAAACGGTTTAAAATGACTAAAGGAACCGAAGAAATGAAATCTTTTATGGTAAATCAAGATCTTCATGACTTAAGCGTTGTTGGTCCTAAATACACTTGGTGCAATAACAAGCATGGCATTACTAGAATTTGGGAACGGCTCGATCACTGTTTATTAAATTCAACTGCCTTACAGTTGGTTCCGTCTGCATATGTCAAGCACCTTTCACGAATTGCTTCAGACCACTGTCCTTTGGCTTTTAAGCTTGACGACACTATGCATTCGCATCCTAAAACCTTCATATTTGAAGATACATGGAGATCCTATCCTGCTACCAAAGGCATTGTTGCTAAAGCATGGAATAAGCATGATTATGGTGATGACTCGGAAGTCCTTAACATAAAAATCAAGAGAACCTTGAAATCCTTTTTTTTCTGGAATAGAAACAAATGCAAAAGCTTGAACCAGCTAAAAGATGAACTGCAGAATGACATTCTCAAATTGCAATTGCAAGAAGATGAGGAGGGTGGTCTAAGTCCTAAAGATCTTGACACACTCTGCAGTAAGGTTAGAGAATTTAACATTACTCTAGTTAGACTCTCTACATGGTGGAACCAGCGCGCAAAAGCCAAATGGAACGAAGATGGAGATACTAACTCTAGATTTTATCATGCCTATGCGACGGCTAGGAAGAATGGCAAGTTGATCAGACAAATTAAGGATGAGAATAATACCACTGTGGAGGAATTGGAGAAAATTGAATCAGTTTTCTTAAGATTCTTTGAAGATAAATGGAAGCCAAGGAACTGCAATATCCAGAACTTGCCTAAAATTGATCACAAATAGCAACTTGATACCGCAGATATTGATTGCCTAAATTCAGTTTTTTTTGAAACTGAGTTCTTTAATGCCGTCTCCCAGCAAGGCTCAAACAAATCTCCGGGATTAGATGGTTCTACTTCGTCTTTTTTCAAATTCTATTGCGACATCATTAAAGATACTACTTAGAGAGCTATCAATCATTTTTTCTTCACTGGACGCATGAATGGAGCTTGGAAAGACACCTTGATCGTTCTTATTCCCAAGATCAATACTCCGGTAACTCCCTCTAATTTTTGCCCTATAAGTCTTTGTCAAACTATCTACAAAATTGCTACTACTATGATAGTTAATAGACTAAAGATCTTCATTCCTAAACTCATCACCGAGGAGCAAGTTGCATACGTTCCGGGCAAATCTATGTCTGATCACTGCCTCTTGGCTCTAGAAATTTTTAATAAATTCAGGATTTCAAAAAATAAGAAAGGCTTAATGGCGATCAAGCTTGACATGGCCCAAGCTTTTGACAGCATGTGTTGGAAGACATTGGAGAATGTTCTTCTCTAGTTTGGGTTCCTGGCAAGTTTCTCTAACCTTATTCTGGAATGCGTCACCGGAGTTCGGTTCTCTATTCTTCTGAATGGCAAAGGAACAAGATGGATTGAAGCCAAGAGTGGCTTTCGACAAGGTTGCCCCATGTCACCTTACCTCTTTATTATGTGCTCTCAGCTTCTTTCTAGCTTAATTCACCAAAGAGGTCTTCAAATTGGCATCCATACATCCAATAGAGCTCCTAAAATCACTCATTTGCTTTATGCTGATGATGTTTTGTTGTTTGGAAAAGCCTCCGTCTTTCAGCTTTGTGTAATGATGAATTTAATCAAAGAATATTGTAGATGGACTGGGCATGGCGTAAACCAGAGCAAATCACAGATTATCTTTGGGAATTCTACTAACCAATCTCTGAAACGTAAGATTGGTAAAAAAACTGGTTTTAAAATTGTCAAAGAGTTTCACTATCTTGGCATTAAAATTGCTTTGAGAAGGCTGGCAAGGAATGACTATCAATTTGTTATTGATCATGCTTTAGATAAACTCAACTCTTGGGGAGCTCGGTTCCTCTCTATGGCTGGTAGGCTAATTCTAGCAAAATCATCCCTGCTTTCACTTCCAACCTTTGTCTCTACTCACTCCTTAATCCCTAAGAAAATACATTATGATTTGGACCGCATCTGTCGTGACTTCATTTGGCATCAGAATAAAGATAACAAGGGACTGGATTACATCGCTTGGGATGACTTGTGTATACCGAGAAATCGTGGAGGACTGGGTATGCATTCTTCAGTCAAAAGAGTTGGGCCCTTACGTGCCCGCTTAGCCTGGAGACTTTATCAAAATCCTTCCTCTCTTTTGTTCAAATGCTTGACTGCTAAACATGCTTCGGATATTTGGAATTGTAAGACTAAATAGGGACAATCCGCTGCCAGATCCATAATCTCCAATGGAGTTTCATTCCTTAAGCCTATCATCAGATGGAAAATTGCCAATGGTGCTAACATTAGTGTGATGGATGATAGTTGGCTTCTTGATTAAAATTTTAATAAATGGCCAATGCTAGCTGATTGTATTGGTTTGGAAAATCTTACATTGCAGAATTTTCTCATTGACGGTCATTGGAATCATACTGAACTTAACCGTTACTTCAACCCAGATATGATCTAGTTAACCTCATTATTACACATTGTATTATTCATAATGATGACAATGATAGTATGGAGCTTCTTTACCAACATTCAGGCAAATCAATCACTTCGTTGGCTTACGCAAAAGTGATTAAGTTTCAGAAGACTTTTGAAGATCATGGCTTTGCTATATGGCTTCGTAAGTTGAAACTTAAGCCAAGGGTTGAACTCTTTTGGTGGCGTTTGAGCAGATTTGCCATTCCAACGAATGAGTTCTTGAAACACAGGAAGCTAACTACTAATGATCTTTGTGCTTACGGTTGTTTGGATATTGAAACCTGCGAGCATATTTTAATTCATTGTAAGTCTCTAACTGAGATTTTTAACAAATTGAGAGCTTGGGGATTCTACATTCCAGTATTTAGCTCTCTTGAAGATTGCTTCCAACATCTTAAAATGCTTTCCTGTAAAGGATCAGATACTGTTAGGCTATTCTGCACGGCAGTTTATTATTCCTGGAACCGCAGAAATGACAAAAAGCATTGCAATCCGGTTTCCCCTGTTTCTGTGATTGCTGCAAATGTGATCTTCGCTACCACCAACAAGTTCCAATTTCTAGTTAACTGGGATGTTAACCTCCTAAGGGAGTCCGGTGCTACTTGGCATCCCCCACCACTAGAATGGATTAAATTTAATGTTGATGCATCACTCCTGGACTCTAGCTTAGCAAGCATAGACGGTGCAGCAAGGGATTCTAAAGGCAATTTACTTCTTGCATTTGGGAAGAAGAGATTACATTGGGACATCAATCAATTAGAATTAGAAGCAGTCTATGCTCTGAAGGATTACATTCATGATTGGAAACTTAACTGTAAAGGACTGATTATAGAGGGAGATAACTACAATGTTATCAATTTTCTACATAACTCTGTCATGAAGAATACTGCTGCTGGTCAAGACGCCGAGAAGCTTTACTTCCTACACGACTTCAATAAGGTGATTTTCAACATACTGACAGGAATGGTAATAAAGTTGTTGATTTATGTGCAACTCTTGCATTGAAGAATGATTTCTGTTTTGATTCTATTTCTTCTCCTGATATTCCTTCTTCCCTATCATGTCTTTTGAAGAAGGAATATGAGGCTTCTTTTCTTTGACTTGTTGTAACTATTTCCTTTAGTTCTTAATGCATCTTTGCAATCTTAAAAAAAAAAAAAAAAGTGAACAATTCTTCAACATTTAAAGCAAAGATTAGGAATCCTCTCATATTCAAATCTCTGAAAAAATCTTCCTGAATTCCCTTCCACCCAAGCACCCAGATGCAATTTATTATCAAGTTGAATATGGACATGTAAACTCCCTTCTCCCCCATTGGAACATATTGTCATCTATTAAATAAGGTTTTCCCACTTTCGATGCAATCATGCAAACATTAATATCATCCCAACATTGTAGTGGCAAACTAGTCATTCTAATCCATATTGGTACTGTTAGACCCTTCAATGAATCTAGAGAGAATGAAGGAGACCACTTTTCCACACCAATTATTTGACTCTTAACATACCAAGGTCCATTAGATAGAACCAATTCCATTGTTTGCTCATCTTCAAAAGCACAAAGCATCCATCCCTTGCCAAGCCAAGTGAGATTAAATTTGCCTAAATGCAACCATTGCCTCCTCAATTCTAAATTTATCACATACGAAGGAATGTTCTCACCAAACACTTTTACCACTAAATAATTTTGTAGTTTTCTTGTATTTTCCAACACATTATCCTCATACAACTTGATAGTTTCCCCATCTTCCATCATGAAATTCTTAATTCCCAAATCAGCAGCACTTTTATTAAACTTCTTGCCCCAGAACTTAGCCAATCCATTACCTTCAGGTTCTTTTGCTTTGGAACATTCAAATTTATCTTCAAATTGCTTACAAGGATCACAATCCCTCGAAATGCATTGTTGAACCACCTCGAGATCTTCAATTGAATTAATTCAATTTATCCCATCCAAAGAATTAGGAGAGATTATTACCAAATCTTTAGCAGGTTTGTCTTCTTCTTCATTTGAATTCCCCACTAATTTATAAGCTGAACTTTCATTTTCGATAATCACATCAGTCTTCTTTACAGATTCATTTAAAATGGATAATGGAGCAAAGCTGAAACAGATTTTAGAAGCTTCATTTTTCTTGTGAAATTTGAAATCATCTTCGAACATCACACTCTTGCCTTTTCAAAAATCCTAATTAACCCTCTTAATTTTTAACAAACCACATTCATTGATTATTAAGGGCTTACCTTAATTGGCATTAAAAAGAACTCCATTAGTAGCATCAACTCCAAGCGTTGAAATTCCTGAAAAAGTGGGAGGAGATTGTTTGAAAAATCCTTGTACTTGTGATGCAGGGCCTACATTTGGTAGTTTACGATCAAACCTAGTGACTACTGTAGATGATGATCGACGATCATTCTCCATCACCAGAAAATCTTGCCGACGTGCTAATTTGATTTTTTGAACAAATAGTTTCTCTCTCTAGCAAATCCCACAGTTTCTCTCTGTAGCTTGTTTCCTCCAGCGATAGTGAATTATGTTCAACTATCTATTAAATGAATTATTCACTATCATTTTTATACAAATTTTGTTATCCATTAAAGGCATCATATCTTATAATGAAATTTGGTTTTGCCCTTTATAACTTTTTTTTTCTTATGAGACGGTTGTGTTTTCAACTTCATTGTCCACCAAAAGTTATTATTTAAAGATGTTCATTGATGCATAATTGAGTGTTCTGGCTTTATTACTTAACATTTGAGTTCTTATTATGTTCATGCATTTGTTAATTTAAAGGCCTGTTCTCTATTATTTTGTTCAATTTATGTTCCTCGCATCATATCCAAGTCCTCTACACTTGCTCGAGTCATGTATAGTCCCCTGTAGTTTTTTTTAGGTTAAGGTCCTTGGTGTTTAATTTTTTTTCAAATACATTTCTTATTAATCATTCAAGTCAAGTTCCTTATTGTTCATTTGAGTTCAAGTCCATTGTAGTGTTGTTCAGGTCCCTTGTATGTATTCATTTTCCATGCTTCGTAAGTTTGAATTTTGGCTCATCTCCTTAATTTAAAGGAAATTTGATAGCTTGGCCTTCCCTTCCACGCTATGATGGTGCTTTAGGTAGGTGCCTAGCGACATCATGGTTGTATTTTCTTAATCTCTCCCACACTACGAGAGTGCTTAAGGTTCTTCGGGGTACCTATTTGATAGTGTGTAATTTTTTTCCCCTCCATGCTATGAAAGCTTTTAAGAGTACTTAATTTCATCCTCGTTACACTACAATACTGCTTG